GGGTAGATCGATTCTGAAGTCGACCCCCTACTCGAAGGACACGGTTTGAGGAGGAGGAGGAGGAGGAGGAGGAGGAGGAGGAGGAGGAGGAGGAGGAGGAGGGAGGAGGAGGAGGAGGAGGAGGAGGAGGAAGAGGAGGAGGAGGAGGAGGGAGCAGAGGAGGAGGAGGAGGAGGAGGAGGAGGAGGAGGAGGAGGAGGAGGGAGGAGGAGGCTGAGGAGGAAGGAGGAGGGAGGAGGGAGGAGGAGGGAGGAGGAGGGAGGAGGGAGGAGGGAGGAGGGAGGAGGGTTCGCTCGTTCGTGCGGTCCCCAGGGCCCGCGAGCGTGCACCGAGAGGCCCCCTCCCCCCCCCGGCGCGGCCCGGCCCTCCGGAGCCGCCGGCCCTTGGCGTGCGCGGGCGAGCGGCGGTGCGGCCTTCGCTTGGCATCGCTCGGGCGTGTGCGTTTTTCCTTCGGCGAGGACCACCTCCTCTTCCACCTTTCATCCTTCGGTGCCACCCTCCTCTTCCACCTTTCGCACGAGCGCCGCCGCCCCGTCCCCCCCCCGCGGCCCGCCCCCTGGAGAGGGGCCGCAGCGGGGGTGTCCCAGCTCGGGACCTCCTCTCTCCAACCGCCTCCACTTGGCATCGCTTGGACGTGTGCGTTTTTCTTTCGGCGAGGACCATCGAGGAGCATCCTTGATCATTTGGCGAAAAAGCCACGCTCGAAACCGACAAAAAGCGCAGGGAATGGACGTCAGAGCGATGTCCAGTTCGCGTCAGGAGGCGCCCTGGGACCTCGTCGGCTGGACGCCCACGCTGGTGGCGGACCAGAACCAGCCGGAGTGGAAGGACGCCCGGGGCGGGCGCGCGGGCGAGGAAGCTGTGTATATACGCCGGGCCCATCCTGGGCCCGGGGGAGCTCTGTGTACGCTAAAGTCGGGCCTGTCCCCCTACGGGGGGATTTCTTCGACGAAAAACAACAGGACCCCAAAAATAGTCAAAGAATCGTCCAGAAAAAGTCTGGGGACTTTTTTGGGGGTATTTTGTTTACCTTTTTGGGGCATTTTGGGGGTATGTTGAATCTTTCGTCGAAAATCCCCCTGTAGGGGGACAGGCCCGACTTAAGTGTACGCCCTCCTGGCCAAGCCAGGAGGGCGTGGCGCACACGTACACCGCTGCCTGGTTCAGGGTTGGCCCGGCCAGGGAGCAGTGGGCATGTGCAGATCTCGTCGCCCTGGGCGCGGGGGATCTTGCCAGGTCTCTCTAGGTCTCCTGGGTGGGGTCGGAGCAGGTGGGGGTCGGAGGATCGCGCCGCATCGCCGACGCATCGGCGATGCGGCTCGATGTGGAGCCCGATTTTCTCCACGCCGACGGCGCCGATGCATCGCCAATGCATCGCCGACGTCGCCAGTGCATCGCAAATGCATCGGCGATGCATCGCTGATGCATCGGCGATGCGGCGCGGTCCTCCGACCCCGTCTACTCCGACCCCATCTAGGAGGCCTCTAGAGGCGTAGCAGGGAACAGGTAGCCGGGGGGGTAGAGGTGGGAGGGAACAAGCTGGTCGTGTTCGCGCCGTGTCTGAGTTCCTCCTCCTCCTCCTCCCTCCTCCTCCTCATCCTCCCTCCTCCTCCTCCTCCTCCTCCTCCTCCTCCTCCTCCTCCTCCTCCTCCTCCTCCTCCTCCTCCTCCTCCTCCTCATCCTCAATCCCACGCATTCCGTCCAGGTTCCGGAGAGGAGGGGGATTTTCGAGGGGGGATGGGTGGGTTGGCTCCAGAGCGGGGGAGGCAGGGATTTTGCACCAGCGAAGCGTGCATAGAAGACGCTCTCTCGTTGGCGTTAGGGCTTCGTGGTAGAGCCGAGGCAGTCTGGCGTTGCGGCATGTTCAAGTCGCTGAGGTTTTCGAGCGACTGATGCGGATGATGCGCATGCTTCGTTTGCCTGCGGGGTGGGGCAAGGAGGCGGAGGAGCCGGTACAGCCGTAGCATTTGTATTAGTTGGTTTTGAGACGGAGGAGGGGAACGGATGATGATGATGCTGATGATGATGATGATGATGATGCTGATGATGGTGATGAAGATGAAGATGAAGATGAAGATGAAGATGAAGATGAACATGATGATGGTGATGGTGATGATGATGATGATGATGACGACAATAAGGACGATGATAATGAGGATGAGGATGAGGATGATGGTTGTGGTGATGTTGATAGGGATGACGATTGTGATGGAGATGGTGATGGTGATGGTGATGATGGCGGTGATGGTGATGATGCTGATGCTGCTTATGGTGATGCTGGTGATGATGACGATGATGCTGAAGATGACGCTGATTGGTGGTTGTTGATGATGGTGATGATGATGATGATGATGATGATGATGATGATGATGATGATGATTTTCATGGTGATGATGACTGCTATGATGATGTTGAACATGGTGGTTCTGATGATTATGATGATGTTGATGTTGATGATTGTGATGACGATGTTGATGATAGTGGTGATCATGAAGCTGCTGGTACTGGTGCTGCTGATGATGGTGGTGGTGGTGATGGTGATGGTGTTGGTGATGATGGTGATGATAATGAGGATGTTGGTGATGATGATGATGATGATGATGATGATGATGGTGGTGATGATGATGACGACGATGACGATGACGATGACGATGCCGATGCCGATGCCGATGACGATGACGATGATGAGGAGGAGGAGGATGAGGGATGAGGATGAGGATGATGATGAGGATGAGGATGATGATGATTATGATGATGATGATGATGATGATGATGGTGGATGATGATGATGATGATGATGATGAGGATGAGGATGAGGATGAGGATGAGGATGATGATGATGATGATGATGATGATGATGATGATGATGATGATGATGATGATGATGATGATGATGATGATGCGGTGGTGGAGGAGGAGGAGGAGGAGGAGGAGGGGGAGCAGGAGGAGGAGACGGAGGAGACGGAGCAGGTGCACAGGCCTCCTCGTGGCCGCTTCTCGGATGACGGCGTCCGACAGCCTGGGGGCAGGGGGGTAGGAGGCGGTGAGACTGTGCCCCTCCCCTCCCGTCCCGCTTCCTTTCTCTCCTTCCCTCCTTCACAGTGTCGCTGCGCGCTGCGGCTCACTCCACCGGCCAGGGTTCGGGGCCTTGGTCTCGGTGTCCTTGGTTTGGGCCTGAGGGACAGTTGCGAAGGACGCGACTGATCCAACCCCACTAGGGGTGCCCCCTTTTGGACTGTGAGGGGAGATGGGCCAGGTCGTGCTGTGTTGTTGGTGCCTCCAGTGGTGTCTCACTGGCCTTCTGCCGGGCCTCTCGTTGGAGATCGGCGGCGGGAGCGCACAACCCCTCCGGGGCGACGGCGGGGGCGGTTGGGCCATCGGGCCTTTCCCCTGCCTCGCGTCCCGTGAGGGCAGGCGGCTGCGCATCTGGCAGGAGGGGAAAAAACACACAGACACAATTAATTGTCGATCCCCAGGAGGAGGAGGAGGAGGAGGAGGAGGAGGAGGAGGAGTAGGAGGTAGTGGAGGAGGAGGAGGAGGAGGAGGAGGAGGAGGAAGAGGAGGAGGAGGAGGAGGAGGAGGATATGCGAACATATGGGAAGTTGGGGGGAAGACGAAAGTCCCCAAAATGAGGAAAAATCTGGGGGGTCCTTTTATTTGTGTGTATTTCTTTGTGTGTGTCCCAGGGCCCCTTTACTCTGGCACCGGCGAGTCGCATGGAGCACCATCTGTTCTGCGTAGGCGTATGGCGCCCTCGACGGGTCCCCAGAACACACGAGCCAGTAGCACCGGTCGTTTGGCTTTGCCTCGGGGCTGGGCTTGGCATCGCTCGGACGTGTGCATTTTTTCTCGGCGAGATCCATCGAGGACCATCCTGGACCATCGGGCGAAAAAAACACGCACGGAACCGAAAAACGCACAGGAAATGGACGTCCGAGCGACGGCAAGTGGGAGGGTAAGAGGGAGAGGGGGTGGCAGTGGGCATCAATCATGGCGCCCGTTAGAATCAGAAGGTGGGCTGTGCCAGCGGTGGTGATTGGCTCTCGCCGGGGGGGCTTCCCCTCTGGGCTGTTTGGAGCTTTCGCACCGCCGTTCGTTTTTGTTGCTGTGTGTTTTTGTGAGGCGCGTTTGCTGTGCCTGCAGCTGCCAGCGGCGTCCCAGTGGTGTTCGTCACGTGCTGATGCAGGCCTCGTGCCTACTCCAGATTTCGTCATAAAAGGGAGGGGGTCTGGACCCTCCAAGACAAGCCATTTCAGACCTCCCCCGTGGGAGAACCCTCCAAAACATCGTCCCCAGACCCCCCAGGCCCTCCAAGATAGCCTGGAAGAGACCCCCCCCCGAAGTGAGACCCCCCTCCCTTTATTACGAAATCTGGAGTAGCATCCAGGGTGGCTCGGGCAAGGTCTGTCCTGCCCTCCGCTGTGCCAGTGCAGGCCCCGTGCTGGCCCGGAGCCGCCCTCGGCCCCATTGCAGGGGGGGGCCCGTTCTGGACAGCGGTCCGCCTACCACCACCTTCTCGCCTCCCCTCCCCCTATTCCATGGTTTCGACCGGCCGTGTCCCTCGGTCACATCGTGGCCGTTCAGAGGGAGACGGAGACAGGAGGAGGAGGAGGAGGAGGAGGAGGAGGAGGAGGAGGAAGGGAGGAGGAGGAGGAGGAAGGGAGGAGGAGGAGGAGGAGGAGTAAGGGAGGAGGAGGAAGAGGAGGAGGAGGAGGTGAAGTGGTACGATGAGACCTCCTCGATCAACATCAGCCTATCTCGGCTTTCGCGTGTGATTGCGGTGCGGTGGAGACGTTGGGTGTGCAGCACGATCGCACAGGGTAGCGTCCAGGAGACGGATACACAGTGTGGTAATTGGTCTTATGTCGGAGACGGTCGCTATGCAGCAGTACGGACGGTGCTATGATGGGCTGCAAGAGTCGAATCGCAATCGCACAGAAAGTCCACGCTGCCACCGACGGCAGCACTGCCGCGGCCGAAGTCGCGACCCCCCCCCGAGAGGAGAGGCAGCTGATGGAGCTGAACAACGGCCGCCTGGCCATGGTTGCGTTCTTCGGCCTCGTGTTCCAGGACGCACGCCTCATCCGCACGTCAACCCAGAAGACATCCGGCGCTTTGTTCCTTGCACTTCTTCCTGGGTGGATTTGCTATAGCCGGCCAGGTATGCACCATCCACCAAACCACCCCAACCCAACCCGAAGGCCTCAATTGGCCTTCCATTTCCAGTGGGGGGGGGGGTCGGGGAACATCGGAAAAACACCTATGGAGCCCATACCCCCCCCAAACCCGAAATTCGGGTCTTCGGCTTGGGTTGGGGTGGTCTGGTAGGTAGTCAGTTATACACTGTTCGGCGCGACTAAGGTGTGCAGGTGTTCACGGCCAGTCCCACCACCGTGCCAACGCAGCACGTTGTGTGTCGATTTCTCGAGAACCGCCCAAAACGCTGCAGCATGTGACAGCTCTCGTCCTGACTGTTCTGGAGGCCCCCGCATGCCCACAGGGGCCGCGACGTGCGACAGATGTATCCCTCTGTGCCCACAGGGCCAGAACAGAACATGCGACATCTCCCCCCCCCCCCCCCAGGAGCCCAGATGACCATTTCTGGAAGAACAAAACAGTTGAATGAACACAAACTTTCGGAGGTCTGTGGACACCCTGGTGGCGCCAAGGGCGCTGGACACCCTGGTGGCGCCAGGGGCGCCGCCCCCGGCGCCAGCGTCGATCGAGGCAACGCGCTCGGAGTTCCAACAGTTTGCAGTCGGACCGAGGTACGAGATCCAGTTCGGCTCGGGGAGGGTCCCCTAGTGTTCTTCGTGGCTGTTGGATGTCATTTTGTCCCAGGTCCGACTGTGTGGATGTGCCCTTCAATGTTCTTTTGCCCAGGGCCAGGACATGCGACATAAGGAGCCCAGATGGCTACTCCAGATTTCGTAATAAAAGGGAGGGGGTCTGGACCCTCCAAGACAAGCCATTTCAGACCTCCCCCGTGGGAGAACCCTCTAAAACATCGTCCCCAGACCCCCCAGGCCCTCCAAGATAGCGTGGAAGAGACCCCCCCCCGAAATGAGACCCCCCTCCCTTTATTACGAAATCTGGAGTACCCTCGAATGCTCTCCATGTTGGCTGGCGGAGGGTCTCATGTTCCTGAAGGATGTTATTTTGTCCTAGGTCTGACTGTATGGATATGCCCTTCAGTGTTCTTTTGCGCAGGGTCAGGGCATGCGACATAAGGAGCCCAGATGGCTATATCACACAGCAGCTCACTTCAGCAGTCCAGTAAAGGCCGTGAGGTGTCATTTTGGGTTCCTCCGGGGGCCGAGATAGCGGCAACGTGCGACAGTTTTGTTCTAGGGGCTCCGGCTGGAGGAACTACAGTCAACCCGCATAGCAAGGATGAGCCATTTCCCAAGGCTGTCTTTGCATCTCTGCCCCTTCGGCCCATCCCTTGCGACTTTCGCTGGCCAGCCTCGTTCGAAAAACGTCAACATGGCCCGCCCAGGCCCTGGCATCCTTACCGCGCATCCTTCTCATGCGGCTTGCCTGCAGGGCACCCTCAGGGCGCGCAGATAGCCGCGCTGCGCGCGCCGCGGTCTGGGCCAGAGGTCGTGCCCTCCTCGCTGGGGGGCGGAGCGAGGGTGCGAGGGCGCGAAGCGAACCTCGCTTCGCGCATCGTCGGGCGTGATGGGCGACGGTGGAGTCGAGGCCGATTGGTAGGTCGACCCTGGCGCCCTGTGTTTCGCGACCCATACCCTCGGCAGTCCTATTGCAAGGCGGCCTTCGGAAGGGTCTCGTGCCCTCTCGAGTGTCGCCCCCGGTCAACCCCGACGGGTGATCGAGGGGAAGAGCAGGGGACGGAAGAGCAGGGCCGAGCGGGAGCATCTCGAAACGGGTGCAGGCTTGGCCCATCGGGGGAACTTGCACGCAAAATTCCCATTCAGTAAGCGTTGAGGGGGTACGGCGTGGGGCTGTGCAGGGTCTTTATGGGGCCCTCTGAGTCTTCCTCGGAGCTCCCCTGGAGCTTCTTAGGTATCCCCAGGGCCATCTTAGTGTAGTGGTTGGTGGTTTTGGGGTTGTTTTGGAAGGTTTTGGAGCCGTGTGGAGGAGTCTTGGGGCCGTGGCTATGTTGGAGCTATTTGCGGGCTGTCCTGGAGGAGGCCACCCGGGAGTTTCAAAGGCAACTTGAGACCATTTCTGGGGTATTTCGGGGTATTTGGGGTTGTTTAGAAGCCTCCTGGACCTGTTCGGAGGTGTCCAGAATCGACAAGGTCAGATGGTAATAATCATTCAGTACGTGTGTCTTCTGTGACTCTGGATGTCTGGGCGCCCTTCTGGTACCTACTTGGGTTTTCTTGGGGTCTCACAGGGCCTGGAATTCTAATGTGAGGCCTCTTGGAGGCTTCAGTTTTTTAGGTGGCCACATCACGCGCATCATGTGGCCTCCAACCCACACATCCACCCAGTAGATTGCATGATGCCTACGACCCCGCTCACCACCGCTGCAGCAGCTCACGTTGCTCAGCGCAAATGCATCCTGGCAGTAACATGCACGGACGGCGTGTTTTCAGTCTGCGCAGGCCTGCGTCTGTGGTGTGTAGAGGCGCGCGCCGTTCGCAGGCTGTTGTGGTTCCCGCGCAGGCGCCGTAGGCACAGCGGCGCACGTAGCCCCACACCCGCTGGTGCAGCAGCAGCAGCTGTGGTGCAAACAAGCATGGCGGTGTACACGAGCATCGATGTGTGCACGGGCAGTGTTGTGCACACGAGCACAGTGGTGCACACAGGCGATGTGGTGCACACAGTCGGCGTGGTGCAGTACAAAGCAGTAACCACAAACAGTTAACCACCATCTTGAGTTTGATACGTTCGGGCCCACAACGGTTTTCAGGAAGTTGACCCCGTCGAAACCTTGGAGGTGTGAACAGTATCTGTGGTTTCACATGCACTGTGGTGTATAGGCGGCGTGGTACACAGATGGTGTAGGAGCAGAATCTGTTGTGCACACCGGCGTGGTGATGTTCAGCGGCGGTATTGTGTACGCACACGCTGTGGTGAACGCGGTCATTGTGGTGACTACAATGGTGTACATAGGCGTTGTGGTGCACAGAGGTGATATTGTTGCACCACATCTGGTGTACGCAGTTATCGTGGTATAAGCACGCACTGCGGTGCACGCAGGCAATGTGATGTGCAGAAGCATTGTTGTGCACACAGGCCTTGTGGTGTACTCGCACGTTGTGGTGCACCCTGGCAGTTTCGTGTGAACAAGCATTGTGGTGTACAAGCAATGCGGTGTACTCAGGCACAGTGGTGTGCACTGGCAGGGGCACAGAAGCCCTGCCGTGTACACTGGCGTGGAGCTGCACATAAGCATTGCGGTGCCTTCATGCGTTATTGGCCTAACATGTGGCGGAAACCGCACCTTGGGGCGGAAAGCCCAAGAATCACAAAGATTTCACACATTGAATTTGATGCCCTCGGGCCCCCTGAATTTTCTGGATCAGGGCTCTGTCGGGATCTGTGAAATACAGCACGTTTTACGCTATACACAGGCAGTATGGTGTGCACAGGCGCTGGGGTGCACTCGGCTGCTGAGGTGTACACGGGCATCGTGGTGTACACAGGTGCTCTGCGCACAGATGCTGCTGTGTCAACAGCAGCTGTGGTGTAAAGGGCGTTGTGGTGTTCGCAGTCGTTGTTGTGTACGCAGTCGCTGAGGTGTACACGGCCTCTGTGGTATAAACGGGCTTTGTGCCGCACATGTGCGCTGTGGTGTACACAAGCCCTGTGGTGTATGAAGGCACTGCGGTGTAAACACGCTGGGTGGTGCGGTCCCGCGCTGCGTCCGCTGCTCGTGGCTACTCATCACCAATCCCGTACGCTGCGCGCCTGGCTATCCGTACCATACCCCCACTCACTTGCTAGTCCTAGCTGTCCTTAGCCAGTCCTAGGTATTCCTAGACGGCGCCGGCGTCGCCGCAGCATCAGTACTAGTACAATCGTCGCAGCATCAGCAGCAGCAGTAACACCTAGCACCCGCAACGCAGTTCTTCGCAACACCAGCAACACAGGTGGCCCAGCACAGAGGTGTTGTGGCATCCGGCGAACCCACCCACCTTCCCAGCCACATAACGCGCGTTATGTGTTTTTCCAAGCCAGCTTGTGGTATTGGGTCTGCGTTTTGAAGGGAGCACCCCGCGTCTCCTTCCTCTTCTCCTCCTCCCCCTCCTCCCTCCTCCCATCCTTGCCTCTGCCCTCCGCATTGTTTCTGTCTCGGCGCACCCCCCATGCGTTTCGCGGCCTCATAGAGAGCTCCACCGAAGGCCCCAGTGGCAGGGTTCGCATGCCGCTCCCCGCCAATTCCGACAAACCCCTCACACGCTTCGGAGGGACAGACTGCCACGGTGAGGACAGGCGTCAGCAGCAGACCCTTCAACCTTTTGCGGGGCACGAAGCAGGGCGACCCACTAAGCTCCCTACTTTTCAACGTGCTTCTCCACCGCATCCTTGGTCCACTTATCTCCGAATGGCAGCAATAAAAAAAGGGAGTTGAATTGGGATTCGCGAGCACCGCAACGCTAACCAACCTACGTTTCGCCGAGGACGTGCTCTTGACCAGCCAAGCTCTCCCGCGTCTGACCTCGATGCTTGACGACATTGTGTGTGTGGCAAAGCTACACGGGCTCGAACTGCACCAAAACACAACCAACCTACTCAGCAATCGGACAAGAAGGACCAGAAGGGCGAGTTCACGCACAGCACGTGTCCAAGACATGAGTATAGAAGTCATCCCATACGAGGGCAAGCTCAAGCACCTCGGCCAACTGATCTGCTTCCACGAACCGATGGACACGGATATTCAGCACCGCATGAGAGCTGCATGGGCATTGCTTACTTCTCGCAAACAAGAGCTGACTAGCAAGTACTACCCACTGGCTCACCGACTCCGCCTGTTCAGCAGCACAGTAACACCGACAGCACTATACAGAGCAGAGACGTGGACACTCACGGAACCCCTACGGCAACACCTACGACGGACACAACGACGCATGTTTCGCATGACCATCACAACGCCGAGACGACGCACGACAACACAAGCTGACCCTCACAGCAGCCAGCGACCACCAGACAACGAAGCACCAGACAACGACGCACCAAACAACGACCACTGCAACAACAGCATTAGCGACGACGCAGACAACAACCCACCCCAGCGTGACACACCTGCCACACTAAACGTTCACAGCGAAGACGGCGAAGTCAGCATAACAACAGACCTGGAGGAACCGAGTATATACAACGAGCGGCACGTCGTGCAGAACACCTCACGAAGCTCCACCGCATCGACAACTGGGAGACGGTTCGCAAGCGAAAAGTATGGCGAATGGCTTCAGGAGTCGCAAACCACACTCAAACTCGTTGGACACAGCAAGTGCTGCAATGTCGACCAGACCTCAACCCAAGGCAGCGAGGACGCAGGCAACACGGTCGTCAACACAAACGCTGGGACGACGAAAGCAACATTTGTCTACGCCAGCGAAACCAGACCTTCACCGACCGACCGCACATACCTGCGCGACAGGAGAACCAAACGACATTACATGGATTCAAACAGCACAGGACACCGAAACATAGACGGCGCTCGAGCACCATTGCGTCGACCCCACACCAGAAGACACCCATAATCGAAGCCAGTGACGCGAACGCCCAGGGAGATTCGAGACGACACGCCCATCCCACGTCGACACCGACACCGAGGACTGCCTCCTCTTCGTCCCCCCTTCTTTTCTTCCCACACAGGCTGAGACGACCGACCCCACGGACCATCCTCCCTCCGTCCCTTTTTTTTGCGCATGTGTCTCGCATTGCAGGTTGTCCAGTCACGCCAGATTCCCGAGGCCACGGCCTCGCCCACCCAGTCTTGAATAGGCCCGGGCGCTGTCCACAACGGTGGTCGCATCGCATCGCACCCTCACGCTTCGCGGTCCCATAGGGAGCTCAAC